ATGACCAGGGCCTGAGGCTTAGGCGGCCCAGAGTTGACAAAACTCAAGGCCCAAGAGATGCTCTGGGAAAAAAGGGGTCTATCATTAAAGAAACTTAGGAAGACCCTTGAAAATTCACACTGCACATGGGCCTATCAAAAGCTCTGAAAAGTCCTGCAGCAAAGGAAATTTGGTTTGCTTAATGGAGCATTTTCTCTCAATTCCTTTGACTATAGAATAATTAAATATAAAACTCACGAACATTCACTGACACCCACTTTACGCTCACTCACCTAGTCTAACCCATTGTTTAAAGGCAACAAATCCCAAGGGGTCAAAGTGCACAGAACAAGAGCCACGCCCACCCCAGGCTCTCAGATGCTTCTTCGTGCAGGCGCATCAGGGCTTTGGATGCACCTCCCTGGGCCCCTGGGCCCACGCTTCCAGCAGACATGCTGTCGGCTCTGGCTAGCCTCGCTCGCTGCGGTGTGGCTGACTGAAGTGGGGCAGATCTCCAGAGTGAGCGCTCGCCCTAGCAGCCTGGGCACCTGGACTACTCACCAGGTACTCAAACTTCACGTCCAGGTACTTCTTGATAGTGAGGCGAGTGTCTGGGATGGCTTTGTTGAGGTACGTGTTCAGGTCCGTCAGCATCTGGAAGAAGGTGGGTGGATGCTGAGGCTGTCACGGCAGGGAGTGCCAGGGTGACAAGAATGGCACTGATGCATCACCCCTGCCGGTGGACTCAACCGTCAGAGCCAGACAGTGCTCCCTGATCCCTTGTCTCTCTCAAGGATGAGAAGACTAGTGCCAGGCCCAGGGCAAGCTGTGACTCAGTAGTGAGCCAGGGTCAGAAGCCCACCTGGAGGTCAATGGCAAGGCCCAAGGAGGCGCAGTGACTCACCCACGGTCCACTGTGTGGGCGACCAAGCCAGAGGCTCTACCCAGGCACAGGACTCCAGCATAGGACCTTCTCTGCAAGCCACACTCTCCCCTCCCCACCCCCACATGCCAGACACACACGTGCTCAACAGGACCTACTGGCTTGATGGTTTTCAGAAGCCGAATGCCAAACTTCTCGATGCTGCGGTGGGCATCGGCGAACTTCACGAAAGCCTCGCTCGCAGCTGGCTGGGGCTCCCGCACCCCGATCACGGAGAACACGTCCCCAAAGGCTGCAGGACAAGTTTGCCTTGAAGGCTGCCCCTGCTTGGCCCCCTAATGGAGAAGCCAGGGGTTTGTTGGGGAGAAGCAGGGCAGGAGGCCTGGCAGGCTGGAGGCCAATGTCTGCACAGGGTCTACACCTCCAAGAGAGCTGGTCTAAACCCCCTGAAGGAGCTGAGTCTACACCTGGAGGAAACTGAACTGACACCTCCAAGAGCTGGTCTATTCCCCCGAAAGTCCCGAGTGTACACAGCAAGGGAGTGGGTCCTCATTCCCCAGAGGGACCAGCGAGAGAAGGCTGGGTCAAGATTTGAGGAGGTGGTGCCGCCTGAGGCAGAACACTGGTCCGAGTCTGGACACCTGGATTGGAACACCAGCTCCACCACTGGGGAGCGGTGTGGCCCTTTCCTCAGTCTGGGCTTCATTTTCTGCAGATAGCTGGGGTCAGCTGCAGTCGGCCTGCCCAGAGTTACAGGTTTATCAGAAATATAAATAAGCAAGGGCCTTGTGCACTGCCAGTGGCAGTGTGAAGAAGACAGGGTGAGGCCTGTCCATCGTTGCGGCCCTTAAGAGGCCAGCTAATCTAGATGCTCCCCGCAGACCTATCGCAAATCCCAGCACCTGGGACCAGGCCCAGCCCAGGGCTGGCCTGAGGTCAGGTGCTGTGGGTCTGACCCACCTCAGCACGGGAGTGAGAGGCCCCAGGGATTGCCCAGGGTCACGCCACAGGTTTGGGGGATGCCATTACCCCGGTGAGTCTGCGACAGCTCATAAAAGGCCCGTAGGAGGTTCTTGGTGTGTTCCGTCATCCCTGTGGGAGAGACCGAGTGATGGGAATGGTGACGCATGGCGGGGACCACACTGGCCCAGGGCAAGGCCTCCAACTGCCCACCCCACCTAAGGCCTCTGCTAGGCCCTGGTACACAGCCTTTGCCAACCGCCCAACCACGGCCCAGGGGTAAAAGCTCAGTCCAACCCACGCCGTGAGGAGCCCCATCAGACAGGGGCACCAGGATTTTGTGACATGCAGGGCACACAGCCTGCTGTGGGCTTTAGCCCTGGGACAGCATGGGATTCCGGGGGACTCTCACTATGTTTACAGGTGCTATTCTCTGAATTTTTATGAGTGTCAGATTTTTTTTTTCTGAGATGGAGTCTTGCTCTGTTGCCCAGACTAGAGTGCAATGGTGTGATCTTGGCTCACTGCAACCACTGCCTCCCTGGTTCAAGCGATTCTCGTGCCTCAGTCTCCCAAGTAACTGGGACTACAGGCACAAGCCACCACGCCTGGCTATTTTTTGTAGTTTTAGTGGAGACGGGGTTTCACCGTGTTAGCCAGGATGGTCTTGATCTCCTGACCTCGTGATCTGGCTGCCTTGGCCTCCCAAAGTGCTGGGATTACAGGCGTGAGCCATCGCGCCCAGCCCTTTTGACTTTAACACTTAAGAGTGCTTACTTACTCTGTGCCAAGCCCTGTTCCAAGCCCTTTCTAGATGTTCATTTAATCTCCTACCAAGCCAATGAGGTAGGTGCCACACTTCAGATAGGGAAACTGAGGCCCAGGGAGATCAGGAACTAACCCAGGCTGTCAGTTCCAGCCTGTGCCCTGGGCCTCCACTCTGGCTGCCCCCTTCAGGGACGTGGTGAGGTCTGTCTGATGGCTCTGCGGGGACCCAGGTGGGCTCCTGGTGACAGCCGGCCCCTCCTCTATGTCCCACCCTTGCCAAGCCTCCCATTTGGGTTTGTGCCCAGCACTGCATGCTCAAAGCTCAAACCCTTTTTCCATCCTGGACTCAGCCCGCTTCGCACACCCTCTTGCCCCCTCCCATTATCAGGATGGCCATATTCATCATCCAAACTGGAACACGTTAGAGTGACAAGGGCCACTATGACTGATCACACCAGGCCGAGGCTGGCCAGGAGAAGCAGAAGTGGCCACCCTGTTTCTGCCACTCTGCAGACACTCCCCATGGCCTCTCTCCACACCTCTCTTCCCACAGCCCTTTCCCCATCGCCCGGGGACACAGGTGCACCTGGAGTCAGCACTTGCCCCTTACCACCCTCCCCTACTTGGGGGCTGTCGCCCTGGCTCCATGTCTGCCCGTCTCTTCCCCAAAGGTTTATTTCCTGTTGGAAGCACAGAAAGGTCACAGATTGGGGGCAGGGGGCGGGGAGGGTGAGATAGAAAAGGCTCCACAAAGCAGAAAGCTTTGGAGGCAGGTGGCAAAGTCAGGCCTTCAGGACAGGTCTGAATTAAATCCCACTGTGTCCCCACACATGGTGTGGCCTTGGGCAGGATCTTTCTCTGAGCCTCAAATCACCAGCGGTAAGGGGACCACAGTGCCAGCCCTGCAACGCTTCAGTGAGGCATAAATGACGCACAGCGAGGGCACTATGGTGGAGGAGAGGGGCAGACGAGGAGGGGCTGAAGCCACTGCGACCACTGCGCCATCCAGGTTTGTTTATTCGATACAGGCCCAGAGCCCAGCCCTCCTTCAAAGAAGTGGCCAAGCTGGGGGAAGAGAATAAATAAAGGCCGCCGAGGTGTGATGGGGACTGGACGGGCCGGTCTGGGGCGAGGCAAGGTGCCCAGGAGACACTGGCCCCAACCTCAGCTGTCCATCGCTGGCCCCACTCCCGGCAGGCTCCGGGGGCAGTGCGAGTGCCCACAAGGAGCAGGGCCCGGACTCCTGCCACCTCCAAGTCCTTTCTTTTCCTTCCTGCCCTCCCTCTCCTTCCTAACGCAGGTCCAGAGACCAAGCTCTCCCTCTGGCCGGGGAGCCGGGAGGGGAGGGAGGGTGGAGGGGCCAGTGTCCAGGTCCCAGGCCATGACCCTGGTGCCTGTCCTGGGCAGGAGCCCAGGTTCACTGTGCGAGGACAGAGGAGCAGGGAGGCAGGCGCCCCAAGCCAGCAGGCCTTTATGCGTCGCCCCCTTGCTTGGCGGCCCCGACCCGCTCCCAGGCTCCGTCCTCCCAGGCACCCTGCCCCCGGCGCCATACCCGCGGGGCACTCAGGAGTCACACCAGCTTCCACCCTTGTCCAAGGGCCCAGCAGCCCCTCGTGTATCCCTGGACGGCTCCCCAGCTGCCGTGTCCTCCTCCTCCTCCTCCTCCTCCCCATCTGTGAACTCCTCCTGGTTGAGGCCGTAGGCCAGTGTGGTGTGCGCCAGGTCCACCTCGATGGGGAAGACGTCGGCATCCCGCAGCAC